GACATTTATTGCATAAAACACTTCTTGGGCTTTTCTACTTTGAATTAGCTCTCTAGTGTGGTTTCAAACACCCAAGATTCCTTAGTGGCTGGAGTATTTTAGGCAAACTCCTGATGAGCATCTTCCAGTTTATTTTGTTCAGAAGAATCCAGTCCAGGTGCCCTGAGATCATCCCACAATGCAAACCAAAGCACAGCAAGAGAGGGCAAAGAGGAGATTGTGCATTGCCGATCCAAACAAAAACATATATAGGCACTCTCATCTTTGAATACTACTTAGTAGAAGAAAGAAAAGAAAAAGACTGTTTAAAACAAAGAGAACTGGTGAAAGTCTGGAACAAACTCTGAGAATAACAACTGTRATATAAAATCAGCCTATGAGATGGAGCAAAAATAATTCAAATTTGGTGCAAGATCTTTACACTCAACTCTATGAAGCATAAGTATCACACCCATGTGGAGATGAATCACTTTACTGGAACTACATGAAACTGAAAGCAGAAGCGCATTCTTATGACAAACTAGGGCTAGACGCTTACGAAACTTGTGGGTATTTTAGTCAGTAACATTCAATAAATGCTTTTTTACTGACAGACGCGTATGAAGCAAACTTACGGATTCACTAAGCCCCTGTCAGATTGTAAATGGAAACACAAATATAGAGAAGGTACTTGGTAAGTTTGAGCTATTTGAGTGAATTGGTTAACTGTTTAAAATAAATTCCATTACTCATAACATCAAGGCCTTGCTAGTAAAGGGCARCTATTACAGTGATAGTAAAAGTTGTTACCTTAAGAATTTCCAGACGTTTCCTTTAAGACTTCTGTCAAACATATCTAATATAGTTAGAAAGTTCCTTTAGTATCCCTATTCATGAAAACACTTAAGCTCATAAAACATCAAGGGACTTAAAGCATGTGCTTGAAAAGGAGCACATGCTTTTTGGACTTCCCTGAATTAACTGCTGAATATTCTTCAGACACTAAGTCAGAATCACATCTCCACCCAGCAAAAGGGACATGAGTTGTACTGGAGGGTCCCTCCAGTAAAGTAACAAGAAGGGCCACTGACAGAATTTGACTCTAAATCTGGACTTCATCATTTTCCCCTCACTCCACAAAAATGTATTCAAGGGCATTTCCATCATCTAAATAATTATTAGAAAGCTCTTACACCGGAAGTGCAATTATCAGTCACACTTTCATAACAAAGATCTATTTCTCTTTATTTTACTTCATTTCTTTCTAAATTGAGAAAGGTAAGTTCTTTTCCTCTAGCTGCTTCTCTAGGTTAATTTTAGTTAATAACAAGTACTCGTAAAATCGTTCTAAAAAGTTTTCTAAAATGTGGCCCAATTCTTCAAACATAGATCCATGTTTGCAGGATTAATCTCTTCTATTACSTGGTTGATTCAAATGCAGAAGATTTAATGGAAAAATAGTCTACCCACAGGTACTAGCAATAAATTATTTGGTCATGACTACAGGGCTTCCAACAGCTGAAACATTCTACTTAAAACAGAGAGGCTGGTGGTCATAAATTGTCACATTCCTCATTTAGCAACATTATTTTAGTACCTTCCAATGCTGTAAACACTTTGTAAGAGACAAATTGAAGTCATTTTAGGATAGATGCGACACTATTCACTCAAACTACTTTGCGCAGCTTACAGAAAGAGGCAGTCATAACCTGATTCAAAGCCTATGTGGGGACAGGGGAAGAGAGGCAGCATGAAAAGGATCTTGAACAACTATGCACAGATCTTGAAAAACTTAACRCTTTTGGAAGGACGTGGCCAAAATGAACTAAACATGCAAAGAAATTAGATTAAAATGTTCATTCTGTAGTCTGCACCTGAAAACCATAGCTTCCACTGGCACAGGTAAAGGCTTAAAGACTGAAACCAAGTATTGCCATTGCTACAAAAAGGRCACTATAGTTTGTTATCATTTGCTCTCTTTCGTAGTACAACAATTACAGAGAGGCAAATTCCAATTAACTCACACAAATACTTATGCATTAATTCAAAATGTGCTAATGAGGAAGAACAGTGACTGAGATTTATGTCCAGAGAGCATGTTCTTTAAAGTTATATACAAAATTCTTTTAAGTTGCAAAAGTCAGGGCATGCCACATCTGAGGATTAAACCTCAAACCACAKCTTAGGCGTATCCCTGAAACCTGCTCAAGTTTTATTTTTTGTTTGTTTTTCCTTGGATAAGCAAACATGGGACTGCTATTTGTTAAAGATTTTAAATTCAACTTAAATTTCTTTGCCTTTTATGGCAGAGAATGACTAGCTTCAGCATCTGAATGTACACAATACCAGCAAAAACAGCTTCTTGAATATTTGATTTTGTTTTTTGTAATATCCCACAGAACTAGGGAAGGAAGATAAGAGCCAAAGTTTGTTCTCAGAAAGTAAGGTATCTATTCTAGTTCAACAAATGTTGCTACCAAACAAAACATCTTTCTCACTGGGATGTGTTTAATTCTTTATTCCACAAGCAACACAAGCTTGCAAGGTATTTCTGATCAAGGAAGCTTTGGTTCTAGGTGGACACAGAATTAAGTAGCTCATTGTAGGCATATAGAGTCATCACTTAAATATGAACAGCCTATATATAAGAGCCTGTAGCCTTTTCAGCTACCTGTAGCTATTTCAGGCTGCTTGTAGATAGCCTGAAAAAAAAGAATTTCAAACAAAGCTTTTAAGGTATCTACAAATACCATACAAGTCAGTGTAGTTTTGGATGCCCTATAAAACTTAACAGGTTTATAGGGTTGTGTTGATATGTGTGTAAAAATATATTTTGCTATAAAATGCATGTAACATCTGCTCACTGTTATGTCCTTACAACTTTCCATCTATGGACCTCAGTCCAGGTCTTAAAAATACCTGCCTAACTCCTCTACATGTACCTAATGCCGTAAGAGTTCAGGGTTACTCTGGCACTTGAGGCTCTCACTTCTTCACCCTGCCAATGTACAGTAACTTACAACACCCCAGGAATTAATGGCTGGGGGAGAGAAGAGTGTTGAAAGTCCCAGATGTATTTTCTTAGATCTTCAGTCCTGGAATATCTGGCCTACCTTACTCTGTAGCCACACGCTGCAAAGCTGACAACAGAAATGCTGGAATAGAGACTGGAAATGTTATGAACTCACCTCTTCCTCTTTCCACCCCCATTTCCCCAACAGACTTAAGCTAGAAAAAAAAAAAAAAGCAACAAATATCCACTGTTATCCTTAAATCTAAGTTCACTAGAATRAAAAATATGTATGTGAATGCTGAATGCAGTAAAGACAGGCCTCCACTCTGTGAACTGTACATACACTTCAAACAGAGCATGTATGTGTTTAAGCTCCTCCAAAGGTGTGGCCATCAGTGAGCAAACCTGAATCAATATATTACCCGTGTTTATACCTTACTGATCTGTGGGGAAGTAAGTCTATAATTCTCAACCTCAGCTGCTGTGAAGTAGAATTGTGTCATGTGGATTTTCTGCATATAACTTTTCTGTGGACAGATCCATGTTCCCTTCCTTTTCATAAAAAACAGCATATATTTACAACATGGAAACACACATAACTTTTTTTTTTCATAGTAAAAACATCATTCAGTACCAAAGTGGTACTGTTAAAAAAAAAAAAAAAAAAAATCCAGGCTAGGCTTGTTAGCTCACTGACTTACAACTTCAATAATTTTGATGTATGGCCTACATGTAAAATGTAAGCAGTGTAGCCACTTGGTCACATGACAGATAAAAACACTGAAAATAAGCATGAATTATAGACACTGAGTTTTCTGGCAAAAACATGATTCTAACAGTTCAGCTGTGCATGCTTGATCTTCTGCATCTAATTTTTTTTTATTATTTTTTACTGTTTAGAAGTTATGAGTCATATGCTAGGACAAAAAAAAACCAAAACAATAAGATAAGTATAAGCCAATTTAGCATGTCTTCCTGCCAAAATATTTCTTACTGAGCTACGGATTCTTTCTGGTTTCTCAAATGAGTCTTCAACTTTGATTTCACACAGCTATTGATTTTCCAAGTTACCAAAGCAGAGTCATTATCTTTAATCTGCAGTGGCACAACTGTGTTACCAGGCTCTGCTCCAGTTAACTGGCTATGTATAAAGTTACATTTCTTGAACCATTTAATTTCTCTCTTCTACAGAGATTTTTTTAACCTCATCAGAATTCTTGACAACAAAACTGTAGCTGTAGAGAAGAAAATGAAAAAAAAAAAAAAGTAAAAAAAGTTCCATCTTCACAGACCAGACCTATATTCAGGAGGGAAACATAATTCTGTACTTTGAGGATAAGCTAAAAGGTAATTTTCCAACCTTATCTAAGCAAGAGTGATCAGGATATCCTGATAACATAAACAAATATAAACAAAATAATTTATTTTGTGCAAATGCATGTAAGATATAACTTAGAGAATTTCCCAGTGGGATGACTACTTTCTAAAGACCTTTTGAGCCTCAGGTATAAAACAAGTTAGTACTTGCAGAAAGTAGTTCAGCTGCAGCATCACAGAGTACACCCTAAGAAAACAAACAGCAGCAAAGCAGCCTCCAACCTGAATAGCTCTCCTGTCCTCGGACCTACATTTCTCAGTTGACTTTAGGAAATGGAAGGAGAACCTTCCCTTAGAGGGAAGAGCTGCTAAACACACACAAAAAGCTGAGAAATGGGTACTTTTAAGCATCGTCCACCTCCGAATGACTCCAGTTTTTCAGGCAGTGAAAACTGGTGCTGACATGAGTGCATCTTTTTTTATTCCTTCTTCTTTTCTGTACATTGGAATTTCTGGTTAAACAACAGCAACAAAAAAGAACAAACGTGGAAGTGAAAGCGTTACAGAGTTACACCACGGAGGGGAGGGCGGGGAAAAGCAGAGACAGGGTTAAAACCCACAAAATAAGCCGGCAAACGCATCATTCAAATAAAAGGCGCAACAATTCCAGGGAAACTTTAAAGCAACTTACCCCGGGGGCGGCAGATCAAAGCGCTGCTCCCAGCCGGAGCTCGCCCCGGCCCTCCAGGCCCTGCAGGGAGAGCTTCTCTCGCTTGGGACATCTGCCAGCTCTCTCGTCCAGTAGCAAGGAGCTCGCACCCCGCTCCAACAAAACTAACACGCGACCCTGGAGGGACAAACAAATGAAAGGATTTTAGGGGGGGGGGGAAATAAATAAATAAAAAGGGAGGAAGGAAAAGAGAAGTGTTTTCATGCCGAAAACTCACGGCCCGGGGCGCGGAGCTGAGGAGGGGCAGCGATAACGCGGCGGCAACTTGGCCGCCCCCCGCGGCGCGCACCGCGGGGCCGGGCGGGCCGGGCCGGGCCGGGCGCCCGCCTCCAGCCGCGCTCCTACCTCGGCATTTCCTGCCGCTCCGCTCCGCTCCGCTGCCGCCCGCGCTGCGCTGCGCTGCGCGGCTCCCCGCGCCCCGGCCGGGCCACCTCAGCGCCGCTGCCCGCGCCGCAGCATCGCCCGCGCTGCCGCCGCCGCCTCTCCGCGCCGCCCCTCGCTGGCCCGCGCCGGGGGCACCTTCCCTCGCACACGCACCCGGCGCCCCGGTCACTCCTTCTCCCTCATTTCCGGACAGCGAAACTCCCCTCTGCGGCTGGCGGCCGGCGCGGCCGGGGGCGGTGGTTGCGCAGCTCCCGCCGCCCGCGCGCACAGTCCCCTCGGGGGCGCCTCGCTCCCCGCCCCGCGCCGCGGAAATGCCCGAGGAGGCCGACACCCAGAAATGGGGAAGAAGCGGGGGGGAAATAAACGTGAACGGGAGGCTTTCCTGGCGGGACGGGGCGCGCGGCTCGGGGCGCCCCGGCCCGCGCAGCGGCCGCGGTGTGTGCGCGCCCTCCAGCAGCGCCCTGCGCGCCGGGGCGGGCGGCACGTGAGCGGGCCCCGCGCGCGGCCTCGTGCTCCTCGCCCTGCGTGGGCACGTGCGGGCGAGAGGCTTAAATGCACGCCGAAAAGTGCCAGCACCAAGGGCACAACCAAGAATTTACAGAAGTAAAACCCTAGGGAGCAAACGGCAGCTTCCACCAGCACCTACCAAGCAGTTGTGCTTGTGCCCATGTCCATAACAAACTCCTGCAAGAAACTCCTGTGTGTGAGAAACGCGGTCGCTGTCATTGCGTGGATTGACTGATAACAGCCCTAAACTCCACTCCTGCCCATAGTGTGGAATATTTCAGATAGTCGCGTGCACTGGCGTCCAGTCGTGTCCAGCTCACACCAGCACAGCGCCAACCCAGGGAGCGTGCCCGTATTTGAACTGTAAATTCTCTAGAATTTACAAGCACGGTGTTTATTACAGTGTGTCTCACCACAGTGTACAATCAGACCTGAGAATCTGAAACTTAATAAAAAGTTATAAATGATCTGTATCCTAACGCAAGAAAACTGACAAATACTGATTTTGATACCATAAATGCCAAGGAAGGTGCTCAGGTAGTCCAAGCTCCCTCCTTAAAGGTTACTATTTCCTTGCTGATGGTTTGCACACCATCTAGTGCTTGGGTAAATTCCTAAGTAGGTACCATTTCTGTGTGAGTCACCATACATTTTAGGGCCTCATCTGATTCAAAATCATCAGTAATTTTGCACCATTGTATAGCTTTGCTGTTGGTCGCTATGTGTAACAAAGACATCATTTCTAGTTACATCACATGGCTTTTTAAGGCGAATATATTTTCCTCTGAGAAATAAGATCATTTTTGAAGTACCTCAATAACATAAGATGCTTTTTGGTACAGCATAATCTTTACTTAGACTTTTCTTGTGATAAAATGGAAATATGCCCGGTGTGGAAGACCTAAGTATAAAAATTCCATTTACAGCAAAAAAAAAAAAAAAAATCGTATATTCTATTGAACAGTAATACAGCAATACTAGTATCTAGCCTTTTTATTTAAAAAAGCATTGCATAAAGTTCTGGTAGGTCCCGTATTCTCCTCCTCTCTTCCGAGCAACTGAGACAGAAGGTATAATGACTTACCTAAAACTCCCAAGTGACTCAGTAGCAGAAGTGACTCATGCTCCTCAACTCACAAGCTTGTGTTTTTCCCTCTGAAACTGGAAACAGCACAGAGGAGGAGCAAAAATTTAGCCAACCACACCCTCTCTTCACAAAGTTTCATTGGATAATAAATGCCTATGCAAAGCAGATAAGGTTCTTTTTTTTTTTTTTTTTTTTTTTTTTTTTTTTTTTTTCGTTCTTCAGAATTATTAATGAGAATCAAATCGTAAACTTCGTGGTATTCAGTTTTATCTACTTCAGAAAGGTAATGGGATGAGCTCAATCAGCCAAAATTCTAGTGTATAGCTGCTGGGGGCCTACATAGTTTTTAAAACATTTTTTAAATAGTTTTTAAAGCAACTAAATGGAAGGAAAAAAAATCTTCAGTTGATACTGCCATACTCTAGCTGATGCAGATTGATGCAGTGCAACCCTAAGCAAAATCAATCAAAATAAGTTAAAAGAGTTCAATATATATAAAAAAGTGCAATTCACTCAAGTGACATATTGAATATATTGTGCAACTAAATACCAAGAATTGCAGTTATTATAACTTGATGGTGACAGATGGCTACTGCTGATGAGATAAGCAAAATTCCATGGCATAAGTAGAACAGTTTATTGATAGTACTGGTTCTAACAAGTACAGAGCTGATCTAAAGCAAGCTAATTGTTTTATTCTTATCCTTATGAAGAATTACCCTTCTAAAATGTTGTTATTGACATTTTCAGGAAGTGGGCAGTTAAGACTTTGCAGCACTTCAAGTAGCCTTAAATATGAGGTGTGATGAGTCGCGGAGCGTCAACCTGGTTATGGGCTGTTGTGCATATGTATTCTAATATATTCTTTTATTAACAGATGGTAAAATTCAGGTATGATCCTCAAGACCAGATAATGGCAGATAATGGAATGGTTATGAAGGAAAGCTCAGAACACTTGTAAAAGGCAAGAAGTATAGGTTGCAGGCAGCTAAAAGATTTTCAGAAGCCTCTTCCAAATTTCTGGGGTTTTTTATTTGTTTGTTTTTTTTTCTATTAAAATTCTTTGTAAAACAGATTCCTGCTAAAAGTGCACAAACTGAAGAACTATTTCTTGATGGTTGTATGCCTTGGGACAAAATGGGTTGTCACCATTTTCTARTCTGAACTCTTACACTAGTCCTAATGTAAATATCGCTTCCAGTCAAAAGAGAGTGGTCACTGAACTAGAAAAGTATTTTGGAAAGACACAAGTTGTTGATTAACAGTAAATCCACAATATCCCCAAATAAACTGTTCCATCAGTTATTTATTTACATTATTAGAAACTTGAGCTATATTCCTGTCTTGGTTTTTCCAAGTCAAACTTTTAGTCTTTGAATTATTTTGGCTATCAGATGGTTGCTTGTGGAAGAAGTTTTTGATAGCAATATTGCTCTTCTCAACATGCTGTGCAGAATTTATGCTCATTTTGTGCATGAATTCTCTTGTCMATAAAAATATTACTGCTTACACAGTGAAGTTATCCGAAAGTGTTATCAATCAGTTCAGGTGCAGTAAACCAAATATTCTCCTAGCCGTTATATGCCTTTCTCTCCCCAAGATTGCGTTTAAACTGAGGCTGATTTCCATCTGTCCACAGAAAGTGGAAACATTTTACACCCTTCTCAACACCCTACATAGCTTAGATATTTCTAAGAGAAGGACAAAATAAGTTAGTAAAATTCTCTGTGATTGACTGCTCGTGCTTTAGTATCTGTGAGTTCAAGTCATCCTTCTGGTATGACTAAGAACATGCTTTTCAATTTGGTAACATGTATTTTTAACGTATGTTAAAACTTCATATATCTTTTAAGCAATTAGATCAGGGCAAGATGTCTACCCTAACTTTTAATAAGGAAGCAGCACTGACGTGGGAAAACTGTTAAGGAAAAACCTAAAAAAGAGGACTGAGTCTAAAAACAAATTATGAAGTATTATCAAATAAAGGTATTAAAAGTGAAGCTTGCAAGTTGGTTTTTAATTTAGAGTGGAAGAAGGACTACATGCAATATGAGAAGTTCAGCAGTGAAAAATGCTGAAAATGTGGGAATTTGCATGACAGCGGCACGCCTGCATTGGAATATTTTTCGCTATTGATTTTCACGGCCAATTTTTGTATTAGCCTTTTCCCGAACATCCCATTTAAAACCCACGGAAACTGCCATGTGCCAGCACGRAGTTGGATGCATCTGTGGTGTCAATTAAGGCTTTTACTTTATAAACCACAACAACTGACGTGTTGTGGGATTGACAGTGCCCGAGACACCAGCTGGTGCTATCCGGGCAACCAATCCCTCTTAGTCCCAGGAAATCCACCTCCAAGGAGCACCAAAACTGAGACAAATAAACAACTGGATGCCTAAAATTAAATTAAAARCACACAAATTTAACTCATTTCATAACCAGAAAATGGCGTTTCTTACTGCTGTATCACAGGAAACTCTGTAYATTGCCCAAAGCCAGTGGAAGACTTTCTGCATTTACAAATGATTACAGGTTTTATGTTTTTCTGCCACAGGATGCATTCAACAGTGGGGAGAAAGGAAATTTAGGTTTATGGGCTGCTTTATGCTGGTTCACACTAGAAACAGAGAATTATACTCCATGTAAGTATCAATTTAAAATAGAAAAAGGTATATTCTCCATTTCCTTGTTTGTTTGTTTATAATAAGTTGGGTTTTTTTTTCAATGAAATATTTCTAAGAGCTTTTGTTTTCTAACACTACCAGCAAAGATTTCATTAAAATTGGTAAATTATAATGTAAAGCACAATAAAATATTTTGAGATGAGTTATCAAAAGAGCTGTCTGAAAGAAAAATGCAGCTCAACAAGCTTTATCCTACTTATGGCAAAACCCATCACATGGCCTGGTTTATGGTGGTTTCAGCTATTCCTTAGCAAGCTCAACCAAGTAGTTCACTCAAGCAGGTAATAGATCTCACATGAAAAAGTAACAGATCATATATTGAGGCACGCAAATTGACATTTCATCACAACAAAATGTCAACTGGTAATTCATTATATTCCTACAAATAAGTCGAGAAGAATTATTCCATTTTCAAATACAAGTAAGTTTGCTGGATTGCAATAGTTACTTTATTTGCATATATTCGGTAACGTGGATTTCCACATTTCAGTGTAACTTTAATAGTACACTCATTTAAGATTTCATGAAATAACTCGCAAGTCAACAAAAGTGAATGTTTCAAACACTCCGAAGGATGTAGCAATTGTTTTAATGCATTCAAGATTATTTGGAATTTGTCTTCACACTAGAGAACATGTCAGCAAAGTCAAGCAGATGGGTAACAGCATCTTTCCAATCAATGGGACTGGAGATTTAAGGCAATATTGATGAAAARTGTGCAGCTAAATGAATACAAACATGTACATGAACGATACAGAGATTTAGTAAATTTGAAACAACTTCTTAATTCGGCTAATTCTTTTAGATATAATATCCCAGAAGCTGTATGGTAAATAAATTAAAACTAAGAAATATTTCTCTTGCTTTTCAAGTTAACAGGACTTCTTTTGCTTCTGCAGCAGTACCTATATCTAGCATTACTTTACATTAGTATTTTATACACATTCTTAACAACTGTAAGTATCCATGAAATTTATATTACTATTTTTTCAGCAATATCAAACTAATATCAAATGATATGGTAATATCAAATGAATTTTGTAAAATTCCATATCCRGAATTCCACAAATATAAAAATATTTCCATATTTTCAAATATTTCCTAAGGAAACCTAGTCAACCCCTCCTAAAATTTTAAAATGAAAAATCTATCCTACAGATTGAATAAATATGGCAGTGGAATAAGACTGTATGCTATATTGTTGTATGCCATCATGGTATCACAAGCAGGAGCAGGAATCCATAAAAAAAATTAGTTAATTTTGTGTGTGTTATCTTTACTATGAATTCACAATACAGAGCACAATCACTCCTTTTGAGGTGTTATAGAATATGCTGTGAATGGGTATTAAAATATTGTGCATTCTGCATTATAGTTTCATAATACAGAATGCTCTTAGTTATATATTGCGTATTATTCCTAATACATATTCACAGCATATCTTGCAACAGCTCCTTTGGCACCGCTAGCTTGTACGCTCTGAATGTGTATTAACAGCAGAATGCATTTGCATATTATGAGTCCATAATGCTGAATGCAGAGTAAAATCTTTGATAAAAAGTAGTCGCTATACATAAAAACAGAAGTCTTTTTCTCATCCTCTCACTTAGACCTTTGCTACCTTGCACAGTCATTTCCCACTACACCTGTACAATYCATAAAGAAAATAAATTATGGTATTGCAGCAATTCTACTGCAGTTTCCTTATAATATTTCAAAAGGTCATTTTTTTCTTTGTTTATTCTGGATGATATTTATAATTAAGATTATTTTTAATTAACTAAATATTTGTTCCCGATTTTTCATTTTGACACCAATATAAATGCCTGGGTTAAAGTCTTTGTAAAAATACCATATCTAGAATTCCACAAAATAAAAATATTGTGAAATATAAAGAAAATCTAGTCACTCCATGGTAAAAAAAATATTAAAAAGAAAAATGCTAAAGTAAGCCTGTTTTACAAATAGGATAAATAGGCATTGGAACAGTAATGTTTATTTTGATAGCATATGTAAAATAGAGTTGATCCTAACAATTCTTAAAAAAAGAAAAGGAAATGCGAACATATAAAAATTAACCTCAGTCAGTTGTAAATATATTTTTTCTTTTTTTCTTTTTTTTTTTCGTTATGCTATTGATTATTTTCCAAAGAGGAATATGTTATCACAGTCAGCTATTTTGATTGGACAAAATCATTCTTTTGCATTATCATTCTTCTGCATTACAAAGTCACGTGATTACAAAACTTCCCTTGGATCAACAAACACTTGTTAGTATATATTGACAGATGAACATCTTGGCCACTCATGTGAATAAAGAAGGCAAAAGG